ACCTTAAAGGGGAAGTCCACCCCAAAACGTTCTTTACAATAATAAATAATGAGTTCTATGCTGCCCTGATAGGCTCAACATGGCATTCTGATGAATATTATGTTTGTGGAATATGAGTTAAGCAGTAAAATTCCGCCATTTTTAGCCGTCTTACGGGGTGGCCATTTTGTCACTTTTTGTCAACTTAAAATTAATATTTTTGGGTTGACATACCCTTTAAGAGTTGACCAATGTCCACCTAGGGAATAATCCCACGTTCTTACTTTGAGCATCTTGAAGAAAAGTATTTCCGTCGTTCAATCAGTGAGTCAGCATGTTTATCAGCTAGCACAAGGGAGTCTTCCACACCCACACTGACGTATCAAGACACCGCATTTCCTTCACAGATGTGACATGTCTCGTTGTGAGAGAACAGTTGTTTCGCATCCAGCCAATCCGCTCTTTAAACCGCATCATTAGTGTAAAACGTGTCAGCTGTTATCCCGAAAACCCGCTAACAGACAAATCTTTTGTAAATGAAGGCGGCGCTGAAAACGCGCGGGCACACACAAACACACCGAGCGTCGTTAATACAATTGCGTGAAGGATTTTTTTTTTGTTTTCACAAATGTCCGAAGTGAACACAATGAGTTTGGCTGTAAATCCACATTCCACACATCCAGGTGGCAAGAATCTTTTGTTAGCAGCGGCACAGTATGTTGCTATGATCAACATGCGTTGCAATGTTGCTTGATTTTGTGTTCCCGACCGAGTATGCCAAAAGGCTCTTGAGCAAAGGGACCAAACTCCCCACAAAAAAACTGCTCAAGGAGCAGCAACACCATTCTGCAGCCCACCTTTACCTTGTTGGTGGTGCAAATTTTTTATTTTTTTTTAAATGAACTAAATGCTTACGTATGAAGTAATTAGCCACTTTATCATGTCTTGGACATGTCGAAACCTGTCGACAAAGAGAGGCGTTCAAATGAGTAACGGAGCCTCCTTTATGATCTCGTATACATTTGAGCCGACGACAACCACAAGCACTGTTTATGCCCCGCCGTGCGGTTTCATGTTGAAAGCAGAACATCCATCTCTAAGGGACACTTTGTCAACGCTCCCCCCAAGCATCACAGTGATCAGAGTTCCAGGAACCGCTTGTGACATTAAGGCTGACCCCTGACAACCCCGAGTGTTTATACAACAAACTATAGTTTTACAAGCAAAAACAGTGTTTAACATGCACTAAAGAGGAAGGAGGAAACAGTCATGGCGGCGTTCTTCCATCCCGAAGCCAAAATCAATCGGTCACCGCAAGTCTCCCAAGTGATGTTATCCTTAAATGTGAGCGCATCGCATCACGGTTCTGATGAGTCATTTGCCATGGGAGATGAGCAGCGTGTACAGCTGTCGTATCGACATCCCTCGCTCATACGGCCGAGGCGCTCACAAACTTCGTGAAGCCACATAAATTGCGTCAGGGAAGGAGAGCGAGAGAGGAATAAGTAACCGTGAGAAAAAGATCGCTGTTGACCCAGATGCTTTGATTTCATTTATTGTACATGATCTCAAGCCATCTGCCGACATTGGGGTAAAGCCGTAAAGGATGGGGAGGTAACAAAAACAACATTCCTCGTGACAAATGCCATTAATTTCACAGCGAGGCCTTGAGGAGTGCGATACACTCTTATAGGTTTCCATGAGATTTATAAGCCCTTGTAGTTTTCACATTGCACTCCAAATAGGGATTTATATGCCTCTGCCTGTCAGAAAGAAATCTCAAGATAGTTACAATGAATCCCCCCACCGCGCCCCGTTCATCATGCGGGATATATGTTGTCCAAAGTGTTTGACCAAAACTCATATTCACTTTTTTGAAAACATACCAAAGCGTACATATGCTACATACGCTAACCCCCAGAATCCCTCGCCGTAGACTGGCTAACGGCAGAACCCAGGGTGTTTTTTTTTTTTTTTTTGCTCTTGGTAAAGTTTTAAATCCATCCGTGTTACGTTGTACCAGCTAGCTAACGCTAAGTTCGACATTTTCTCCGGTCCAAGTGAACAAACTCCCTTCGTGCACAGCATGAGAGGCCAACAGCACAGTCGCGACAGAGGAGTTGATACACTGCCGAGATGAGCTTTATTGACTGACTGCTGAACAGTTTAATATAACGCAAATTAGCCAGCTCAACATTCCTTTACATGTAGGGCGTGGGTCTCAAAGAGCGCGGGTCACACGATGTACGTACTACATCACGCACACGTTGCCATCCAAACATTCTTGTGACACCAATATGCCATGATTCATTCTCATCTGAATCCAAAAATTCCGACTCAGCATTCGCTTTTAACGACCAAGTTACATCTCAATTCGAGTCTCCACCGATTCATGCACAACCCTAATACAGTATATGGCCTCGGTTGAGATTTTACAATCAATGCTATTCAAACAAAACTTGTTATCCGAATAAAACGATGACTTATGTTCTATGTACGCAAAATAAAATGACATTTTGAGAATTGGTAGGAAAGCACAATGTTTAGTTTGGATTTGGTACAGTATTCATTGAACAACGTGTATTATTGTGATACAGACATATGAGAGATGTTTGCAATATTATCGAAAATAGGTGACTGTACTGCCGCTTGTACCAGGTTACCTGCAATTTTGGTTTGACTTGGACTGATGGTCACAAGGGACTGCCTTTAAGGGAGCTTATTCCTTTGTACTTTCTGCCTTTGTGGAGATGACGCAGACTATTGTGGGATTTAGTCGTCGCCTCAGTGTGGAAAAAGTAGCGACTGTGCCGCAGCCTCGCTGAGATGAACTGACTTCCCTGTCTTGAGTCTCCATTCCGCGTGGTAGCCGTGCAGATGTTTACTTCTTGACATCCTCCATCACGCAATGTGCTCGCCAATTCGGGATGTATGTGAAACATACGTCTCGGAGTGTCTACCGGCAGGGTGTGTGGTGAACATGAAAGCACGGCCATCAGCAATATCAAGTAACACTTTGAAAGGAGCCCTCAGACAGTTGAGAAAGAAACGCAGCCTTGTGGATTCCATAAGGGGGACGAAAAGAGTCTTTTTGTTGGGAAGATAAAGGGATCATTAGAGGACGGCGCGTCTTTGGTAAAAGAAGGTCTTTTGTGAGGTTGTGAGGTCTCAATGTGGCCCTTTGTCAGTGGGGATGTTCTCAGATTGAGGAGTGGGGGGATTATTCTGATTCCTTGCACCACCGTGGGCACAAATTGGGCAGTTTGGACTTTTTAACAAGGGACGTTCGGCGGCCTTTTCGACTATGGTATGACTGTGTAGGTGGAAGACGTCGGCCTGAACAATTTATTCAGTCATCCGTGGAAAAGCTAGAGTTGAATTTCCTTCATTTCCTGTGTGGAAGGAGCTGTGTTCCATTCGTATTAATTGCCCTTTAGCGTTACTGTATGCCGGACAAGTTCGGTGGCACTTCTTAAATGCAGACTGCTTTGAACACTCGCATCAATCTGAAGACTCCACATCGAATTTGAGCTACGAATCTGAATTTGTGTGTATCGTCCCGACGGTTTGATCAAGACCCCGCATTGTTTTGCCCTTTAGGAGCTAGCGATGCGGTCCTGACGAGACACAAAGAGGTTTGGTTGAACTTTGAAACAAGCTTCCTTTCTTTCTTTTATAGCGAGCGGAGGGACTTTTGAAGCCTCTTGACCTCTGCATTTCGATGATCAGGGACCCTCACGCAGTCTGTCACAGAGACAGTGGGTGGTTTTGTCAGACAGAGACGTGTAAAGACCAAACTGGCTATATTGAGTTGTTCAGACAGATGCTAACCATTCATGTCTGCGTGTCTATGACTCATTCAAGCGCTCCGGTTGCAGCGTAAACAGCAGCTAAGTCCACACACACCACAATGTACACAAACAACACCTCCGCTACTCAACAGACTACCAAACATCTGTGTTGCATCAGCCCTATTTCCACTTAGAAGAACAATTGTTAAAGTTACCAAAAGAACTGATGTGTCCTGTACCTTTTGTGGCACCCTCAGACTCAAGCTTGCCCAAAAAATTCTCCATTCTCTGCCTCATTTCATGATGACTACAGAGCGGTAGCAGTTTGGAGGTTCTTTTTATTTTTATTTTAATTGGAATAAGCAGATTAGGGTGGCACGGTGGTCGACTGGTTAGCACATCCGGTTCATAGTGAAGTCTGCGACTTGTTTATTCGTGGGAGACGGTGTTAAAGTATCTGTGGTTCAAAGCTTGACAAAAGCTAATCACATCGGCGACCGAGGGGCCGGACTGGGGGCGTGGTATGCAAATATCAGGGGCAGTGTCTTTCTTATATTTTGCATATGTAAACAATAAAAGACCGATGAGGAGCACGATGTACTTTGAGTGTAATCGCGTAGCAACTGCCCGCCGTTCGCTCTGAAAGATCCGCTGCCGTCGGACTGCACCAGCAACCTTCCCTGAGTCGAGTTCTTCTATTTAAATTTGTCCGGGTATAACTCTGACACAGACACGAACAACCATTCGCGTTCACACTCACACCTAGGGACAATTTAGAGTGTTCAATCAGCCTGCTATGCATGTTTTTGGAATGTGGGAGGAAAGCAACTTTTCATGACGCCAGGATTCGAATAGTGTTCATTTTCTCAAACAAATAATAACAGTCAGCTTCCAGAACGGAAAGACGAAACGTCGAATGTTTCTCTTTGTGTTGAATTTACTCTTGGGTTACTGCGTATATACTGTGTCTCTCTGCTATGTTGACACATTATTTACATAGCTGAAGCAACTTGTGATGAGCATCGAAAAAAATGTCGGCAATTGCAGGGGCTCGATTGTTGATGAATCATCAGGCTGCTACGATTCCAAAGCGTGCCGCGGCGGGCTGTAGTGAACAGAAATATATTGTCGTGCAGTAAAGAACAAAGTATAAAATGACCCAATTTCCTCAACATTTGCTGTGTATTCCCCGGTTGCTAATATCTGCGTGTTGTATGTTTGTGTCTGCAGGGTGGGAAGAAGCACAGCGGTCCCTGCGGAGGAAGAGACTGCAGCGGAGGCTGTAAATGTTTTCCCGAGAAGGGTGCCAGGGTAAGTTCCTTACTGTTCTAAATAGCTGCATAAATAAACCTCTTGGTCATCACACTGGACGACCAAATAAGGCTAAGACGGCGCACCGCGGGGTCTGAAAGTTCCTTCAAAAGTAGCTGCTGCGGCCAAAGGCGCATCATTCAAATTGGCTCACGTGTTAACGCTTCAGGTGGCGACTCAGCCTTTCTCCCATGAACAAAGCGGCATCATACCACAATGTCTACATTGTGTATCTAATGCTGTTTATATCACGGGTTCGAGACAAAGTTGCCTCTGTTTATGAAGCTGAGAGCAACATTGCGTCGAATCACAACATTGAGAACGACGCGGGCTTTTGACCAAGACAGAAAAACGTGCGCTGAAGCCCGTGACTTGGAAATATCGCTCCTTCTCGCAGATAAAGCTTTTGGAATTCACACCATTCATCACTGTAAAAACAGAAGGTCTGATGGGATGTAGTGTGTCGAGTATGCGAGAGAAACTAAGGCCAGAAATGAAAGACACGGACAAGTGTGAGGAACCCGATGCAAGGATTTAAGCCCATAGAGACAGACATAGACTAAACACGCTAGGATAATCATTTCAGAATGAATGACGACAGACTGCTTCTCCTCCTCCCCCCCTACTTGAAACACGTGCAGTCCATATCAGTACATAACGTTGGGATCCTCTGGGCTCTGTAACTTTTGAAATTGGACAGCCGGCACCTACTTTCCACACTTATTTGCCATATGCGAGAAGATTTCCATCTGTTCTTCAACTGGAGAAAAATATTCTTCGTCGAGCACTCCTGGACAAACCAATGCTGGCATTATTGCAACTCGACGACACATGCCCATTCTGTTTTTTTTTTTAAGCTCTGACAAATAAGTACAAAAAGAGTTGCCATGACGCATGTGCACAAATCGGTGCTAAAGTTACCAAAAGAACTGATGTGTCCTGTACCTTTGGTGGCACCCTCAGACTCAAGCTTACCCAAAAAATTCTCCATTCTCTGTCTCATCTCATGATGACTACAGAGCGGTAGCAGTTTGGAGGTTCTTTTTATTTTTATTTTAATTGGAATAAGCAGATTAGGGCGGCACGGCGGTCGACTGGTTAGCACTTCCGGTTCATAGTGGAGAGGTGCAGAGCGTAAATGGTCAGGGTGCTACTGCCCGAAGACAGCTGTGGGATTGGCTCCAGCACGGCCGCGACACTCGAGAGGATAAGCGGATCAGAAAATGGAAGGATGGATGGATAAGATGAAGAGTTCATTGGAGCAGTCAGCAGTCAAATAGCCATCTATCCATCCATCTTTCGATCCAAGCAACTGCCCGCCGTTCGCTCTGAAAGATCCGCTGCCGTCGGACTGCACCAGCAACCTTCCCTGAGTCGAGTTCTTCTATTTAAATTTGTCCCCAATCGCAGGGCACACAGACACGAACAACCATTCGCGTTCACACTCACACCTAGGGACAATTTAGAGTGTTCAATCAGCCTGCTATGCATGTTTTTGGAATGTGGGAGGAAACCGGAGTACCCGGAAAAAACCCACGCAGGCATGGGGAGAACATGCTCCACACAGGAAGGCCAGAGCCGGGACCGAACCCACGACCTCTGCACTGTGAGGTGGACGCGCTAACCACTCGTCCACTGGGCAGCCAAATAAAAGCTCCAGATATAAAATCAGGGAGGAGGGTTCTCCTCTGATTCGCATTTTTTTTGACTGGTTAAAACTGTTTCAGCTCATTCCTACTCCAGTTATTTTTTTCCCCCTCGGTTTCAAAATAAAAGCCCCAAATTATTATTTACCTCTAATTTCCATCGTTGTCAATTGAGCAACTTTTCATGACGCCAGGATTCGAATAGTGTTCATTTTCTCAAACAAATAATAACAGTCAGCTTCCAGAACGGAAAGACGAAACGTCGAATGTTTCTCTTTGTGTTGAATTTACTCTTGGGTTACTGCGTATATACTGTGTCTCTCTGCTATGTTGACACATTATTTACATAGCTGAAGCAACTTGTGATGAGCATCGAAAAAAATGTCGGCAATTGCAGGGGCTCGATTGTTGATGAATCATCAGGCTGCTACGATTCCAAAGCGTGCCGCGGCGGGCTGTAGTGAACAGAAATATATTGTCGTGCAGTAAAGAACAAAGTATAAAATGACCCAATTTCCTCAACATTTGCTGTGTATTCCCCGGTTGCTAATATCTGCGTGTTGTATGTTTGTGTCTGCAGGGTGGGAAGAAGCACAGCGGTCCCTGCGGAGGAAGAGACTGCAGCGGAGGCTGTAAATGTTTTCCCGAGAAGGGTGCCAGGGTAAGTTCCTTACTGTTCTAAATAGCTGCATAAATAAACCTCTTGGTCATCACACTGGACGACCAAATAAGGCTAAGGCGGCGCACCGCGGGGTCTGAAAGTTCCTTCAAAAGTAGCTGCTGCGGCCAAAGGCGCATCATTCAAATTGGCTCACGTGTTAACGCTTCAGGTGGCGACTCAGCCTTTCTCCCATGAACAAAGCGGCATCATACCACAATGTCTACATTGTGTATCTAATGCTGTTTATATCACGGGTTCGAGACAAAGTTGCCTCTGTTTATGAAGCTGAGAGCAACATTGCGTCGAATCACAACATTGAGAACGACGCGGGCTTTTGACCAAGACAGAAAAACGTGCGCTGAAGCCCGTGACTTGGAAATATCGCTCCTTCTCGCAGCTAAAGCTTTTGGAATTCACACCATTCATCACTGTAAAAACAGAAGGTCTGATGGGATGTAGTGTGTCGAGTATGCGAGAGAAACTAAGGCCAGAAATGAAAGACACGGACAAGTGTGAGGAACCCGATGCAAGGATTTAAGCCCATAGAGACAGACATAGACTAAACACGCTAGGATAATCATTTCAGAATGAATGACGACACCCCCCTACTTGAAACACGTGCAGTCCATATCAGTACATAACGTTGGGATCCTCTGGGCTCTGTAACTTTTGAAATTGGACAGCCGGCACCTACTTTCCACACTTATTTGCCATATGCGAGAAGATTTCCATCTGTTCTTCAACTGGAGAAAAATATTCTTCGTCGAGCACTCCTGGACAAACCAATGCTGGCATTATTGCAACTCGACGACACATTCCCATTCTGTTTTGTTTTGAGCTCTGACAAATAAGGACAAAAAGAGTTGCCATGACGCAGGTGCACAAATCGGTGCCGAGTCCAATTGACTTGGAACGCCGAATCAGAATTTTCCCATTCGAGTCATAACATCATAACATATTCTCGTGAGAGAGGAATGTTTGGATGGCACGTCCCATCTCCCTATGTGTGCCGCGCTATATTCGAGCGGATGCCCAGAGGTAGTCGTGTGACTATTTGGCCTGCTAACGCCATCCGAGCAACGGGAATATTTGTCCAGCTAAGGCCGCGTTAGCAACAATGAAAAGGGAATTTTTCAAACGTGGATGCTGAAGCTGAGAGACGGACTAGCTCAGTTCAAGCTAGGGGAATATTTGTCCAGCTAAGGCCGCGTTAGCAACAATTAAAAGGGAGTTTTCAAACGTGGATGCTGGACCTGAGAGATGGACTAGCTCAGTTCAAGCTAGGATGAGGCTAGGAGTAATGAAGATTGATTTAAAATGGGACCAAGGCATTGTTAAGGTTAAAGTAAGTCATTTTAAACTAAAAAGGTTTATCTTTCTCTATATTGACATGCTGGGTCAACATGTCGGTGTGCTGCATTCCGATAGTTGAATGCAATATAACTTTGTAAACGTATGATCCGGATGAAGTGCTATATAAATGCACACCATTTACCAATTTGATCAAATTTGATTTTTCATTTGTTCGACAATGACGTTTTTCAGGAAAATTACATTGAGTAAGCTATTAAAATTGTTTGGGGATTTGGTGGTGACTAATGCAAATGTGGGTAGTGAATGCGGATTTTTTTTTTTTTTATGTGAATCCGAGCTCTACATGCCATTGACATTGACGGGACAAATTCTTTTCACTTACTTTCAACCCAACAGAAGAGAATCTGGTCATTTTGACCATTATTAACTGTCCCACAAAGATGTCCAATTTCTTACTCATTTTAACTGCGGAGCTAAATTACTGAAAAAAAAAATTAATTCTCATTATTGCGTATGTTTGTTTCACCAATCATTAACCAGTCTTCATGGGAACCTAAGCTATTGACGCGCAGTAAAGACCAAGACTCATTCAAAGTTCAGGAGCAACCTGATCAGGGGGCAACTATAAAAACGGCTGGAATGATTTAGCTACTGTACGTTGGGCACACTGACTATTTACAAGAACAACTGCACGGTAGCCGTTGCCCTTGACCTTCTACGCTCACTGAGGAGGATACAGGAAGAGCCCATAAAAAGGTGAAGCGAGGCACAGAGAGGATGTCCCGCATTCCATGTCGGAGTAATGCGAGGGATTGCGACGAAGGGTCAATAGATTGCCTTTATCTCCCTCCACCTCTCGCTCGCTCGCTCGCCCCGCTATCTGCGTCAAAAGGATTTCCATCATGTCGTAAAAACGTGATAACGACGTGCCAAAGGTGTGAGGAGAGGTTTACATTGCGCCACTGGACGGGATTTCTCCGTCATTGTTAGCGAGTGGCAATCAGCAGCCTGCACGCTCACAAGAACGAAGCAGTAGATGGCAGTTCATGGACTTTTGTGCGAAAAACACAAATGGAAAAATTCATTTTTGCTTCTCTTCCCTTTGTGAGGTTGCATGGTAATAATTTGGCTTCTGTAGTTTTGCTAATTAAAGAGCAAATGAGGGCGGCACGGCGATCGCCTGGTTAGCAAGTCGGCCTTACAGTGCAGAGGTGCAGGGTTCGACTCTGGTCCTGGCCTTCTTGTGTGGGTACTCCTGTTTCCTCCCACATTCCAAAAACATGCGTGGCAGGTTCATGGAAGCCTCTAAATTGCCCCTAGGAGTGATTGTGAGGGCGAATGGTTGTTCGTCTATGTGTGCCTTGCGATCGGCTGGCGAT